CTACCACTACTACAACACTTCCATAAAGCACCACGTTTTGGCTCCTACTTCATTTTTTTAATAGAGTTATCAACTGCAAATCAGATATTCCAGTCCAGCGACTTGCTTTACATCCACAAAGTTGCCCTCAGCATTACTTCCTTCTACCAGAGCAACGTATACTAACAAAGTGAAGTGAGCTGTCATCAATCAGTGTGAAGCTTCCAAAGAAAATGAAAGGGTCTCTGCACTGCAGAACACCAGAGGTTGAGCAGAACAGCAGCCAGTGGCTGAGCAAGCAAGACTTGCTTGGGCAAGGCTGTTTGCAAATGGGAACGAGGTGAGAACTGCTTACTGACTGTCGTTGGGGGTATTTATGGGTTGTTTCCTTTAAATGAATGTCTGAGGAACAGCATGTATTCAAATAAGGCTGTGTAAAAAGTCAGACCCCCTCCTGCTTATAAGCTGCCTTCAATTACTGGGAGGCTGAAGGGCTCCCCAGAGCTTTCTTCTCTCCAAACTAAGCAAGCCCAGCTCCCTCAGCCAAGAGACAATTCACCTTGCCCCAAAATAATGAGGATAACAAAGCTCAGTTGTCCTCCTGAGTCACAAGGGCCTCCAAGTTGTGGGTTGCTGGCCCTACCCTGATGAGTCTTACAGACACTGCTCCTGTTTACCAAGTGGAGATCACCAATAGGAAAGCAGAGGCTGCGAGATGTGCTGACAAGCCAACAGCAAACAGAAACACCTATTTTACAGAGAGGGAGGGAGGGAGGATAAAAGTTCAGCTCTTCCAATATAGTTAAGGTTGAACTGTGACGGAACATCACCGTGATGAAAGCATGAGTTATTTGTGGCAGCTCAGGAACACGAGAGTCACGTAGGTCCTGCCAGTCTGCTCAGCTGAGCAATGCTGGGAGCAAGGCGATAACAGAACCATGGAGAGGGACCTTGGGACCTCCTTCTTCATCCTCCTGCCCAAAGCGTAAATAACACCAAATATCCCACAGTCTGGAGTCTGCCATGCAAATGCCACAGCCTCCCCCAGGCACACCATGCCAGGGCTTAGAATTTTCCCATGGAAAACGATTTGCTCACATCCAGCTGGTGTTTTTCTTGCCACAACTTGTGGCCATTGCCCTTTGTCCTGTTGGGCTTATGGACAACAAACGCATAATGGCTTGGGAAATTAAGCCCCCAGTAAACTTGAAGAGAAATGATGGCCTCAAATTGAGCCGGGGGGGGGTTCTGTTTGGGTATGAGGAGCAATTTCTTCTCTCAAAGAGAGGAGATGCATTGGAATGGGCTGCCCAGGGGGAGTCACCGTCCCTGGGGGTGTCCCAGAGCCATGGGGATGTGGCACTGATGGACGTGGGCAGTGGGCATGCTGGGATGGATTGGGCTTGATGATCATGAAGGTCTTTTTCACCCTTCATGATTCTGTGATTCTATGAAAACTCTCCAACTCTCTGAATTGATCTCCAGGAGGACTGATTCTGACCCTCCATCTGAAAGTAGAACCCTGCTCCCTTATTGGAGAGGGAAAAAAAAAGCAGCAATTTCTGACACCGATTTCAACAGATTAAATCATTGCAACTGTTGTGATGTGGCCAGTTTTCAACCAATTATCTTCTTGACCCACCTTGCCATGAGTCTGAGTAACAGGCTGTGGGCATGAGAGAAGGCATGGACACGTAAGGCAAAGGGAAGCTGACATGGAACTGCTTCCCTTGTGTTCGTGGCAGACAGGAAGGTGTGAACAGGGCTGCAGCTAATTGAGGGACTGCAAACTGCATTCCATTCTGCTCCCTGAGGATAAGAACCACCTCCCCAAACACGGTGTCACAAACCACAGACCCACACACAGATGGATCTGATTTGTTACGTGAAGAATCCAACCTCCTTTCCCAAGACAACTCTTCAGTGGTAGTCTGGCAGCCTCTCCTTTAGCAGAAAGGAAGACAAAACGAACAGACAAATGTGGTATCAACAGTAAAACTAAAACCATCAACATGAGAATCGACCAGTGCTCAGCCAAAAGCAAGACCCAGTCATCTTTCTTTAGCTCAATGAAAGGTGCCCATATCTCACTGTCTGAGCAGTGGGAGATCCCAAGCTAAGAGAAGCTGATAACTTACAAGTTTCTTAAGTGCACCAAATGGACTCTTTGCACGATGTTATGATGTGCAATACTGATAACCCAAAATCATAAAACCATGACATACCCCAACAAGAGGACGTGCCCCATAAAAGCAACATCTCAGACTGCCAACAATGCATCAGGTTGAGGTTACATCTCCACTCAGAGTCACTGGGAGCTTCTACCCCTTCTTTCTGTTGTACATTAGCACTGCCAGCACCCAGGCTACTTGAGGAATTCTATTCCGCAGCCTGAGAGTGCACATTTTAAATCTGAATGTGAAAAGCCATCCCAAACTCCAGCATCAGAGACACAGCGAATCCATACCTCGTTGTTCCAAGCAGCACCAATGTGTGACAAGCTACAAAGCAGACTTTATGCCCAAAGAACCTATTCTGAAAATGAGCTCAGCAACACTCCTCTTCCCCTCTCCTTGCTAGAGGGCCTCCAGCTGAGCTCCTAAGGACAGACCTTATGACACTTGAAAACTTCCTTTCCAGTGCCTTCTCTAGCTTTCTGGCCTTTTATTCCTTTAACTGAAGCCACCACAGTGTAATAAATAGCAGAGAACTTCCTAAGAACAGAAATGCCTGTGACACAGTTCGGTATTACAACACACTGGGCCCCAGTGGGCTGACTTTAAACTACTAAATATGAGACATACAAGAACGAGTTTTATGTTTACAGCCACTGCCTGTCACCTGAAGTCACAATTACAAATCCCCATTACCATAATGCCCAAGATAAAGAGCTCTCTCTACCAGGAGAAGCAAAACAAGGCACAGGAGTGGCTGGGACGTCAGTCAAGCTCTCCACAGCTCACTGCTGCACTGACTTCAGGCCATGTTTGTATTGCCACAGTGCTAACATAAACCATTCCTTACAGTCCAAAGAATTCCTGGAAAGTAAATGTGAAGAAAGAAGGAAAAAGAAAGAAAAAAAAAAAAAAGGGTCACTCAGCCCAGCATTCATCTATGTACAGATAACCCTTTATACTTTATTGCAATCATTCTAATAAATGTAACACAAGTGAAGATCTTTTCCAAAACTCTTTTCAAATAGACCAATTCTGAAGTTAATAACAACAGAAAAGGATTTCAACAGTAAAAAAGGATGGCTGAAATTTGGTTCCCAGCAGGAATGCTTGCTGCCATTCCCTAAGACCCCTGCAATGGCCACAGTTCAAATGTGATTCTTACAGGTCTGGATTAATTAATTGCACTCAAGACCTTTCCCAGTGCTGCTTTACCTTCTGTATGGCTGCAGCTGCGATATTCATCCTTTAGCAAGGAAAAAAACTACACATGGGCTCACACAGCAGGTTAATATCTTTACAATGATTAAAAATTAATCTATACCAGCAGCAGAAAGCCCAAACCTCGTTAGAAATGCTTTATTTATTGCTTTCCCATCATCCCAAATATGGTTTTAAAGGAACTCCACCAAGGACATCCTGGGCCAGCTATCTTTTGGATCAAAGTAATACCCAAGAGAGTGATGGGATCCAATATTCACCACCAGGTCAGGTCAGTGAGGCACCTCTTGGTGAAGTATGGCTGCTCCTTATGCTACCAGCAGGGTTTGCTGCTCTCACAGTTCTTCCCCTTGAAGCAGTATAGACCAACAGGACAGCCTATAATACTAAGTGCCACAAAAAAAAGCATGTTTTGTTGGGGAAAAATGACTAGAATGCTCATATTTAGCATTCTAGTTCTAGCTTTGTCTCCCAAGCTTGCACAGGTGTGTCACAAAGCTCTGTAGTATAATCTATCCTGAAAGACAAGTCCAAATTCAGGTACTAGACTAGAAACAATCTAAATTTCACAGATTCCAGCCTCTATTCACAAACACTACAGTTTCCCCTCTATAAAAGAATTTTTTTCTTCATCATGCATACAAAGCTTCTAAAAAACAGTCTGAGTTCTCCTTCCACAGCTCAAGTAACACTATGACTACTCTTCCCCATGCAAACACCCAACAATCCTAAGTTAATTTCCAGGTCCCTCCCTTCCTCTTCATTGCACATCTTGTTTGGATCACAGCTCATGATGACTTAGAACACAGCACTCACTGGTTAGATCCCGAGTCCTACATTTTTTTCTCATGAGATAGATTAATGAAAACAGCCATGTGTCATCACCTGACCAAGGGTTCAGGCAGAGGAACTCGGTGATTGGTGGCTCTCATTCTCACCTGTCTTCAGAATTGCTCTCTTTGAAGCCTGCCCACATTTCAGCAGAAATTCTCTATGATAACTTGTTCACCCCCATATTGCAGTAGAAAACTAACAAAAGTGAAATCCTCCTATTGTTAATCCCATCTGTCTTGAAAGGCACAGACTCTTTGATGCTGGCACAGGACAAGAGGAGATGGGTTCAAACTGAAAGAGCTCTCCAGTTTAGATTGGAGATAAGAAGTTCTCTACGCTAAGGTTGGTGAGGCTGCACAGAGAGGTGGTTCTGCCCCATCCCTGCAGACAGCCAAGGTCAGGGAACGGGGCTCAGAGCACTGATGGAGCTCTGGGTGTCTCTGCTCACTGGGACCAGATGGCCACTAAGGAGCCCTTCCAATGGGAACGATTGTAGGACCTAAGGCTAGGTTCCCAGGCAATCTCTATCACGTCATAATTCTTTGTAATTCCAGGGTTTGAAGCGTCCAGACCCAGCCAGCAAGGGGAAAAAAATACCATAATTCACATTACAAGTGACACCCTGAATTTCTGACATTGGTGTAACTGCTCGTAGCAAACTGCAGATAAGAGAAATGCCTCTGCATTACATATACCACAACACTTAACTCCCCCACGGGACAACCAACGCAGTGCTGAACAGAAGGCACGGCCCTGCACACAGAACTGCAGGAAGGTACTCCAGGCACTCACCCATCTCTCCCTTTACTGACAATCTTCACTTCGAAGTAATAAATGCCACAAGCTGCAGGGATGGGATGCGTGGCCCTGACCGAGGCAGCGTCTTTGTGATTCTTACCATGACCTGGGAAAAAAGAGAAGGGTCAGTGCTGGGACACCGGGATCTGCTGTGCGGATCGGGGGGGGGGTGGCTTCTCCATCCACCTGAAAACACCTAGAGTGCTCGCATCGCACTGAAAGCAACAGAGCTGCTCTGCCGCCCTCCTTCCCGAGGAGCCCCCGTTGCTGTCGCCGTCGGAAGGGGGGACGCGGTGCTGCCATCGCAGAGCTGCCATCCCAGCGCCGCACGGCAGCGGCACGCAGCTCCATTACGCAAGAGGGGAATGACATCAGTGTTTACCGAGCGGGCAGGAAAGGGGTATCGCCGTGCCGTGCAGGGCAGGGAGCGCCTGGAAGGGCCGCACCGCCGCGATCCCCGACCCCGCAGCGCCGGGACGGCTCCCCGTCCCGCAGCCCTCAGCCCCCCCCCCCCCTCCCCGAGCCCGAGGCCCGCAGCCCGGCACCCCGCAGCCTTTCCCCCGGGGGCAGCGGAGCCGGCGGGTCCCGTCCCGGCCGAGGGGATGCGAGCAGAGCCGCCGCGACCCGGCACCTTTGTAGTGGACGCGCAGGTTGCCTTGCGAGAGGCCGATGTAGTTGTACTTGTCCTTGGGGCTCCAGGAGCGCGGCAGCGGCGTCTCCTCCTGGTTGACGGCCGGGTAAAGGCGGCGGAGGCGCCGGCTCAGCTCCTGCTCCTCGGGCGGCCCCGGAGCCGCCGCGTCCCCCCCGTGCGGGCTCCCCGCGCCCGCCTCCGCCATCTTGGATTCGCTTTGTGTCACCGGGCGGGGAGCGAAGCCCGGCTCCGGCCGCCGGCCAATAGGCTGCGAGCGTGCCCACAATAGGGCCGCGCTGCCCGACGGGAAACGGAGTCCGACCCGCCGCCTCCCGCCCGCCGCATGCAGTCGCTGGGACTACATATCCCGGCAGGCCCCGCGCGCGAGGCCCCGCCCCCTCCCGCGGCGCGCCGCGCTGTGGGAAACGTGTCCTCTCTGCGCAGGGCTGAGCGGCGCCAGGCCGCGCTCAGGACTCCCGCTCCCAGAATGCCTCGGGGCAACGCGGCGCCGAGGGGCAGCCGAGAGGCCGCCGCGCCGCTGCCGGTGTCCGCCGCACCGCCTCCGCTCAGGGGCCGGTTTAGGCCGCCCGGTCAGACGGACGAACGGAGCTATTCGGACGGCCTCGCTCCGATCGCGGCCGCCTCGCATAGCTCACTCGTCGCCGGACCGGGGCCGGGCCGCGGTGAGAGCGGCGAACGGCGTCAGGCGCGGCGCGGGCAGCTATGGCGGCGGGCGGGGGGTCCTGAGGCGGCCGTCTCCATGGCAACGCGCGTAAACAGGCGGCGCTGCGGGGCATGGCGGCGAGGCGGGCTGAGAAGCGGTGAGCGCGGCGATCCGACCTGCAGGGCATCTCCAGGGCGTGGGGAGGCTGAGAGCCCCGCGCCGTGCGTCCGCGGAGCGGCGGGCAGGGATCTTCTCAGCGCTCATACGTATCTCACGGGGGGGAATCGGCTGGGTGCGGCCGGGCTCTTTGTGGCACCAACGTGAGTGGACGTTCACTTACTGAAAGGCCTTTCTCCTGCACACACCTGCTTCTAGGAAAGGCAGGTCCTGGCTGTATTTTTTACGTGGTTTGCCAGTTCTGCTGGTTAGCACTATGGATACCCCAGAGAAGCAGCCTTGCAGGCACTTCTGGGATCCCAAGGCCCAGCTCCTGACTCAGACAGCACTTTTCCAGCTCTGTTTCTAATCCCACCTCACTCAGGTTTGTCCAGCAAAGGGCTCAGCTTGGCTGCTCTCACTGCGACAAGAAACAAAGCACCCAATGCCACAGAATCACAGAATGGCCCAGGTTGGAAGGGACCTCAAGGACCATGAAGTTCCAACCCCCTGCCACATGCAGGGCCACCAACCTCCACATTTCACAGCAGCCAGGGCCCCATCCAACCTGGCCTTGAACACCTCCAGGGATGGACGGGGCACCCACAGCCTCTCTGGGCAGCTGTTCCAGCACCTCACCGCTCTCATAGTACAGAACTTCCCCCTGACATCCAACCTAAATCTCCCCTCCCTCAACTTAAAGCCATTTCCCCTTGTCCTGCTGTTATCTACGCTTTCAAAGAGTTGATTCCCCTCGTGTTTGTAGGCTCCCTCTAGGTACTGAAGGCTGCAATGAGGTCATCCTTCAGCCTTCTTTTCTCCAGGCTGAACAAACCCAGCTCCCTCAGCTTGTCTTCCTAGGGGAAGCTATGCTCCAGTCCCCTGATCATCTTTGTGGCTTTCCACTTGACCCTCTCCAACAGCTGTCTTTCTTGACTGAGGGCTCCAGACCTGGACACAGTACTGCAGAGCAGAGTGGGACAATCACCTCCCTGTCCCTGCTGGCCACCCCTCTTCTGATGGAGCCCAGGATACCATTTGCTTTCTGAGCTGCAAGGGCACACTGCTGGCTCATGTTAAGCTTTTCATTCACCAGGACCCCCAGGTCCCTCTCTGCAGGGCTGCTCTCAAGGACCGCTCCTTCCAGTCTGTATGGATGCCTGGGATTCCTCCGGCCCAAGTGCAAAACTCTGCACTTTGCTCTGTTGAACCTCATTAGGTTCACCCAGGCCCACCTTTCAAGGCTGTTGAGGTCCCTCTGAATGGCATCCCTTCCTTCCACCGTGTCAACTGCACCACTCAGCTTGGTGTCATCAGCAAACTTGCTGAGGATGCACTCAATTCCATCATCAAGGTTATTGATAAAGATGTTAATGTCATCCCTGGAGGTGTTCAAGGCCAGGCTGGATGGGGCTCTGGGCAGCCTGGACTGGTAATGAAATGTGGAGGTTGGTGGCCCTGCATGCAACAGGGGGCTGGAGCTTCATGATCCTTGAAGTCCCTTCCAACCTGGGCCATTCTGTGATTCTGATGTGTCAGTCCTGGTGTTCAGCTGTACCACAAATCTCCCCATTGCTCTGTCTATGTCCTGTTGGCTTTTTTCATCCATCAGGCACATCACAACTAGCTGCTCACTTTAGATATGCATCAGCCAGATTCACAACCTCCAACAGAATATTCAGTTAATTCTGTGGCTTTTGAAAAGTCTCTTCCCTGCTGTTGCACAGGACCTCTCCTGAATCTTCCTCGAAGATTACAAGTTGCCAAACACGCATCTGCAGTGTGAAACCTACCCTGTCCAAGAAACAGAAGGCTCTGGTGAGTTCAGGTTTTAAGGGTGGAGGGAAGAGGAGTGGAATATAAACACTGTTCTTGGCTGTGAGAACTTCTGTGGATGTATATGCCAAATGCTAAAGCCAGATTTTGACACATATAATCCAAAATAAAGAAGAAAAAAAGTTGTTTAAACATAGGCTTAGAGCATCTTACAGTCTTCAGGAATGCCTGCTCCATAGTGTGTGTCAGCAGATAAAGTAGAGTGGTGAAAACTATATCAAATTATGCATAAATAAATACCAGGAAGGTATTTATTTGCCAACAAAATAATGAATGGTTAAGGTCCACAAAAGTCACATGTTTTGTTTCTGTTTACATTTAGGTTGCATGTCTATCCCACCGTACTCTTGGGCAGTTAGATTGACTGTGAGGCATAGTTGGGGATATTTCAGCCTCAGTTTGGCTCTCTTTTGTGTTTGCAGTGCTCTTCAAACATAATTCTTTCTCTCTTCAGTCTTTCCAGCTTTCTGCTAGAGGCCAATGGTCCATGTGGCCCGCATTTGCAGCTGGCCAGACAGTCCTAAGGAATCACAAACCCTGCAGTGCCCCAGAGGAGGGAACACCTAGGTAAGCCAAGCCACAGGATAGCTAGAAGCAGGTTTGGAAACCAGGAATTTACAGAGCAGGATCTCTCCCAGCAATGAGAACAACCAGGTTGGCTGATCCCACAAAACTTGAGCATAATAAATAATATTATTGGTTCTCACTGTTAGCAATGGGCAGTAGGAAGGAAACCCAAGTCCTTGAGCTGATGTCCATTCTCCTGTGTCTCCACAGCAATGAACAGGCCCTTCTTACCATTCCAAAGCCACGTCACTTGGAACAACTGGAGTCTTACTTAAGGAAAGAGCTGCAGACCCTTGACCTGACTAAAGGAAGTTCCCAAGAACTGAAGCTGCAGGTCAGATCCAAGTTTCTGTTGACTTGGAACAACATACTGAGATGGGTTACTCAGAATGGTCATCCAAAGGAAAAAGTAGGTGGGAAAAGTAGGCAAATAGAGTTAGTGTTAGATAGCTTGGTTCACAGCTCATAATAGAGAACTTACTCAGAACGTCATTTGTTTGTATGTCAGGTTTATATGTTGTTGAGTAGTATACTCCACAGCTTGCATAACTTTCCATTTTCAAATCAAAGCCCAAGACTTCAAAAAGACAAGGTAAAATGAAGGGTTGTGAAACTACTTACTCACTGAGCTCCCAAAGATTAAACCATAAAGCAAGGTGTAGGCTCCAAAATTTTCATTTCCAAAGCTTTCATTTGTGAAGTTCTTTACAGAGAGAGTGGTGAGGTGCTGGAACAGCTTCCCAGAGAGGCTGTGGATGCCCCATCCATCCCTGGAGGTGTTCAAGGCCAGGTTGGATGGGGCCCTGAGTAGCCTAGGCTGGTATGAAATGTGGAGGTTGGTGACCCTGCATGCAGCAGGGGGTTGGAGATTTGTGATCCTTGAGGTCCCTTCTAACCCAAGCCATTCTATGATTCTATAATTATGTTATGTTTCTGCACATGACAAGAAGGGGGCTCCTTGTCAAGCTTTAGCTTAACCAGGGTCCCCAAATTTAAGTTTTTATCAGGCCTGACTCTGCGAGTTTGTTGTGAATGTTTGAGAACACAGCTACTGATGACACTGAAAACCACCACTTTAATTCAAAACACAATCAGAGCGCTCATGCTGAGTGACACATTTGGATTAGAGTTTCTCTGCATGAATTCTAATTCCCAGAGGAATCCCATAGTGATAAGAAAGGAATGTGGTACACAGAAAAGAGTGCAGGGAAAGAACTACAGAATCATTAAGACTGGAAAAGACTACTAGGATTATCTAGTCCAACTGTCAATTAATCAATTGATTACTAATGGATGATTAACAGCAAGAGAAAACAGAAGTTTCATGAACGTGTTATGCTTGGGAAGTACTTTTTTTTACTGTGTGACATGACACGTTTAGTTGTATATAATAGCAAAGTACACTCAGTGAGAACATTGCCTATTGCTAGCAAAGTCTTCCCAGGCTCACATACAACATGGGACTCTGACTGTAGCCCCAAACAACTTTTATTCTGCTGAGGACAGCACATGGGCTGTCCCACCAGGGCCCAACTATCTGAATTCTGAGAAGCAAACAATAATGTTTTCTCAAGCTCTATTTCCTCTCTCAGCCCTACAGAGAGATCTTTGAATTCTTCATAGACAACTTCAAGACCTACAAGCCCTTGCTGTCAGCTATAAAGAATGAGTATGAAGCCACATTGGGTAAGCTCTTGGACTTTGACCTCTGAGGGGAAAACACTAATGGAGATGTAGTCTTAAACAGCTTATTACATACTGGATATATATACACACACACACACACAGAATGAACATTCTAAATATTTACATAGAATAGTTCACTTTGAAGGATATACAAATATGTCAAATGGTAAAACTATCTTCCTGGTCTATTAATGAAGTCTTCCCACATGGGAGTCTACTTCCCTCATACATAACAGGTGCTTATATATATTTATCAGACATTTATTATTCAGATTGAAGGTTTTTCTGTATTTATTTATCCTTAAGATCTTCACCACACACACAGGTCAGGCAACATCCATACCTCAGTTTTTCTGAAACTACCATGTTGATAGCAGAGTATATCATACTGATATATTTGGATGCACTTGCAGTGGTAACTTGAAGCTTGCATTACTCCTGAAGCAAGGCAGGGCAGAGAGCTGAACTGGCTGTTCTCTGTCCATTTGTGGTGTGCTTTAAACCCCTCTTGGCTCTCAGATGCCACAGTGATAGCAGTGCTTTGTAAACAGTCAGTGTGCTAGAAATAGCCTGTCACTGGGATCTCCTGTCACACTGAGCAGCCTACAGATGTCAATATTTTTCTAATGAGACAGTTTCTTCAATAAAATGTATTGTTTATCCCTGTATCTGTTACCTGACTGCCTAATGATAGCCCCTCACTGTAGGCAGAAATCTTTGCACAGTGCAAGATCAATGAATCAACATTAATCATTACATTAAAACATTTTACTAACAGTTTCCTTCTAGAACTCTTCACAAGACATTCCTTCAGCTCCCAGAGGATTACCAGTGTCAGTTCCATAGCCTGTGCTGAAGCTTACTTTCTAATTATTATTATTTTTGTTTAAGCATATTTTCTACTCGAGATGTTTTATTGACTCCTCTTTGCCAAGTGGTCAGCAGCCAGTTGTGGAACACTCCAATTACACCTCAGAACACAGTGTTCTTTGTTCACACCAAGTGAGCTATGCTAGTGCTCTAATTTTTGCCATCTTCTGGGGAGCTGTCCTGGTACCAGTGTCATAATGAAAGAGCTCAGAAAAAACCTTTGGTACAGTTACAGCACAGGAAGGAAACTCACACCCAACTATAATAAGAAAAGTCATTCCTGTTTTTAGATTTATGCATGCATTTTAAGTTTTAAAATACAGAGTGTGCTGCATGGTATTTGTACACTGAATACTTACATTACAGTACTGTACTTACAGTACAATGAATACTTACATTAAAGTTCTGGCAAAGAGGAAAATATCTGCAAGTGACATTACTCGGTATCTAGCAGCATTTCTATCCTGTTCAGGAGAGAGAATGTATGCATTATTCAGCAAGGAAAACCTTTGCCATAGCCTCATTTGAATTACATCTTCTTGTGGTGGAATTTCATTTAGTCATAAAAGCAAGCCTCCACACCAAGGAGATGGGGACAGGTGGAGTTTTACAACGTAACTGGGATCTGGCACCCAAGTCAAGTACTCACACCAATCCCCTCAGAAAAGTACCTTTAGGAAAAAAAAAAAATCAATTCAAAGGGGAAATAGTTGAGAGTGAAAAGCACAGATGGCAGCAAAGCCAATACAACGAGTTCTTTATTAATTGTACTGATGAAAAAGGGAAATGAAGAGAGGGCAACACATCCCTGAAAAGAGAGGAGAGGGTGTAGACAAGTTTGTACACAGGTGGCACAAGGCCTTGCATTTGGAGACAAGAAAGCAAATCTAAGTTTGTGAAGAACATGCCTTTACAAAACCAGGTAAACCACTAATTAGCAGCTATTTTTAGCTCCGTATGCTGCCTGTGCTTAAAAGATGACAACCTAGTGAAACACGATGGCATCATCAGTGTTCATTATCACAAAGCCTGAAATACTCAAGGAGACAAAATTCAAGCAAAATTCAGGTTTTGTTGCTCATTGTAAGAACCTACCTCTGCTCTCTTTAGCTCATCAGAAGGAGACAATCCGTGCCCTAGAGCCCCTGAAGGCCATGGTCACCACTGTGTCTGAGGAGTGCACCCAGCAGATATTAGCACTGCAGGAAAAGGAGAAAGTGGAAATAAGTACTTTAAAGCAAGAGAAACATCATTTGTTAAAGTTTATTGACAACATGAAGGAAGAGAAGAGTTCTCTTCAGACCCAGGTAAATAAGGCTACAGGTCAAACATCTCCCAGCTTCATCTGGATCCATCTGATCTCTTCCTCCCAGGTGCTCATCCTTTAGTGCCAGGAGAAGTACTGGAGCTGGTGGTGAGCAGCTGGCATTGTAGAAATGCTGGATCTCAAGAACATTCATGTTCCCTTAGGGCTGGCTGGGCTGCTATCAGAAGCTTTGGCTTGTAGCTGCTGTCCCAGACAACCAGCTGTAGGCTCCATAGTTGTGGAGATAGCATTTGTTGAACCTTGGAGACTTGGGTTTCACCACATAGATTGAAACACTCAAAAATATTTCTTCCCTTTGCAGTCCTCGACTTTCCTTTGGTTCCTCCACTTGTTGGTATTTACAAGCCTCATACAGAGATAAACTGAACCATTTCTGATGAGAATTTACATATGGTATGCCCTCCTCCTCCCCCCCAGAAGCAAACATTTGCTTTTCCTAGGAATAGAGCCCATAATCTAACTTCTAGTTTGGGCTATTCAAGCTTTGCAATGTGCATGAAGGATGCTGGAAAGATAATTGTGCTAAAACCAGAAGTCTGCTTTTGAGACAACATTCAAATACTCTAACCGGGTTAGATACACAAAGTTCTTTTGGAGAGATTTCAACATTAATGATTTTATGATTGTTCAAAGTTGCTGACTGGTTTGGTGGTGGCAACGTGGCGTGGCTGTGACGGTATAATGCCATAGGCAAAGCAGCATTGCTACAAAGGGCTTACATTTTGGTGGGGCTAGCATAGTTTGCATCTTCAGAGTTCTCACCAGAATCACAGGAGTTCTCCAAGGTGCCTGCTGTTTTTTTTTTTTTTAGGAATGGAATTACAATAGAGAAACCATGCAACTCAGCATGAACTGTATCTAATTCACTCTCTGAAAGGCAAAGCACAGATAGAGCACTTCAGCAACCTTCTCCAGAGTCCAAACCTTTCTGGCATGTTTCTACCTAACCATCCTTTCCTACAGTGTTATTTCTTGCCCACTTTCCTGCTCCAGGTTTTTTTTTCCACATCCCTTACCCCACATCTGCCCCATAGTTCTGCTCTAGGCTCAACACGCCAGCCCAAGGCTTCCCACTGATGCTGATCAACTCCTGCAGGTGGAACACCTGCAGCTGAGTGTAGCTGAGGAGTACACACGCTACCTCCAGGAGTACGGCGCCCGCAAACTGCTTCTAGCAAAACTGAATGAGATGCACAACGAGCAGCTGAACGTGAAACAGCACCAGGTCCAAGGTGGGGAAAGTAGATCTCTGTAGGAACCTGTCCTGCCCAGAGGCCCAATGCACACCCACAGTGCAGCATTAAGCATCTCCAAAATATCATCAGATACGATCTGATTCTTAAAATAAGCTACATTAGTGAACAAAATATCCATAAGCACATAGGGAAGGGATTAGGAGGGGATGTGGGTGGACAGTTGGGCTAGATGATCTTAGTGGTCTTTTCCAACCATAATGCCTGCTGTTTAAAGGTGACAAGGGTGAAGATGTGGTGAAGCTCACTCTGGCATTGAAGATGGCTCGGCAGGACCTCACAAAAGCCCAAGTGAAGCTGAATGCAATGACAGCAGAGTATGGAGATGTTGTGCCCAGGAGAGATTTTGAATCACTGGAGAAGAAATACTCTGATTTACTTCAGGAGGTGAGCACAAGCTCTGAATTTTTGAGCTGTATCACATGAATGCAAACATAATGGGATGTATAAGTACTCAGGTTAGGATAGGGACTCTGTACACACAACTCACAGGGTTTTGAACTATGTTTGTCTGACATCCATTGCACAGTTTTGTCCAGAGCACAGCAAACTGAAACTACTACTGAACCGGGCTACTAACAGCTGCCTGCCTAGCTGGATTTTGCTTTTTCCAGTAGCATCTCATGGCTTCTTTACCTTGCTGCAACTCCAGGCCATTGACTCCACCACCAGGGAGGTCAGTGCGTTTTCCAGCTGATAGAACCAGAAGAGGTTCCTCAAGACAGGGAAACCTGTCCATGATAGAAGCTGTCCCTCCAGCCCCAAGTTCTTCCAAGGAGAACCTGTTGTATCTGTTGATCAGGATGGCTTTGAGTTGTGCAAGGCCTCCTCAGCAGTATCTTAGCATTCCACCAGAGAAATGCACAGAACCAGGACGAGACTCTGTAATTCTTCTCTCTCTGCTCCTCACCACCCTCACTGTAGAAGACTTTTTCCTTATATCCAACCTAAATCTGCTATCTTTGAGTTTGAAACCATTTCCCCTTGTCCCATCATCACAGACCCTGCTGAAGAGTCTGTCTCTTTCTTTCCTGTAGCTCCCCTTTAGATACTGAAAGGCCACTCTTAGATCTCCCTGGAGCCTTCTCTGCTCCAGGCTGCACAGCCCCAGCTCTCAGCCTGTCCTCGCAGGGAGGTGTTCCATCCTTTGGATCATTTTTGTGGCCCTTCTCTAGACACACTCCAACAGGTCTATGTCTCTCCTGTACTGAGGACTCCACATTTTTGCAGATGTTCTTGCATCCAAGCAAGAATAAATTATATGAAAAGGAAACGTTCTAAATAAAGATCAGTGGATCTGAAGGAAATGCACATTACGTTTCTAGAACAATAACAAAAAAACCACCTCTCCCATTCTCTCCTAGTGCATTAAGGTCCATTTTTAAACACAAAAACCAGCATAAAACATCACTGATATATTCTATTTGAAGTTTCTGAAAGTGATAACAAGAAAAATTAATGAATTATTTATTTTTCATCCAAACTAAAGGCAGTTAACCAAGAATTGCTCTCTGTATATCTATGGGCTGCACTGAATGCTCACCTGACCTGTCAGACAACAGAAAACTTCCATTTCTGTGGTTGGTTTGTTACATACTCCTCTCTGTATGCTTCAGATGAAGACTCTGAGGAAGGATTTTGAGCAGCTCCATGAGGAGTATGAAACACTGCTGGAAATCCACAGAGAGACTGCAGAAGAGCGAGACAGCTTCCACACCCAACTCCAAGAAGCTGAACGCAGCCACACACCCCGGCCCAACTGGGCAAAGTGTTCAGGTGCAACCTGTACTCAACACTCATTTGCTTACAGACTAAATGTCTATAGAGCTGTATCCATTGTAAGGTTCTTACTGGGCTCACACAAAATCAGTACTCACGGGAAAAATGCACCTCTGTTAGCAGCTCAGCATCTTTTTGCTGTTGCAGAAGTGATTCCTGGCGGAGTGGAGCGGTGGGGATGTCTGGCAGAGGGGAAGAGCAGCAATCAGCTGGTGGATGTGCTTCTGGAAGAAATAGGAACAGGAGTGCTAAAAGAGATGAATGTCTTCCACGGATGGGTACGTGCATGCTTTCTCCTCTGCTTGTTTCCACTGAGATTCATTGGTAGTAAATATCCATTCAGAAGGTGGGAAAGTTGTGTTCATGGTTGGACTTGGTGTATTCAGTGCCCACCTTCCCATCAGCGTAACCACTGAAAATTTTAGAGCTGGGGAAACTCAAATGCAAGAGAAAAGCTGAACCTGAGGGTAAGCATATCGAGGACAGCTGAAGTATAGAAGCACAGAATCATTAAGATTGGAAAAGACCACTGCTGAGATCACTGCAAGCATCAGGATGGCTAAGAGTGCATAGCAGGAGTGCACCGTGGGGAATGACTCCTTCCCATGGCATCAAGAGGTAATTCAAACCACACTGTCCCACTGCACTGCACCTTGTCAAGCAGGGGAGGCAGGAAATGATACAGGGACAAGGCAGCGTGACAAGAATTCTTCACCTCATAATGTATCCAAACATTTTCTCAGGGACAGAGTAACACTTCCTTGGTCCTTCCACATCTCTCCCTAAGAAATTCACCAAAACACTGCTTCAGTGCTGCATTGATGCCAGTGAGGGGAAAAGAAACAGATGAGGCCTTCTATTTCCTAGGGCAAAGGTGACAAGGTTCCTGTGTACCTGAGGTATGAAGGTGACATCAAGAACAAAAAGCCAACTAAGAAGGATGTGGTGAACATCCTGAAGGACATCTGGAGAGAGAAAATTGCACTAGACCAGCAGGTTTGTCATTTTCCTTCTCTAAAGCCCTGAGCTAAATCAGCCACACTCATGAATCTGAGACCTTAGCTAGAGTGACTGCTGCTATTCTGGGATGTGCTGGTGCACTGTACACCAGGATGCCATCACAACTATGTAGCATCTGTTCTTAGGTTTGGAAGCCCTGGCAATATCTGTGCCACCAAAGCATGGTCAATTGTTTGGGTTTTTCTGTTTGTTTTTTTTTCTGGACTGATTTTAACCCATGCCAATGCACTATGAAAATCCACAGAGGAACAAGTAGCACCACAAAAAATGAAGATGAGGAACAGAAAAGGAGAAACAGAAAAAAAAATCACTTATTATGCTCATTTGCCTAAAAGTGTTTTGGTTTTGTTGCACAAAAAAAACCAGACAATTTCCCCTTCTTTGTCCAGGGTGGGTTGGGAGTGTGGTGGAGGCTAAAGAGCCTACGTTTAAACCTTCTCATGTTAGAGACATGTATAATGCCCTGTTATCATGCTGCAGACACAAAATCAACCTTTAGAGAGGCAGAATCACTTCACAGATTTCTTCACTCGAGCTAGAAGCCTAAATACATCCCTTAGGTCAGCCTTAAACAGTCTAGCGTTTCCTATGGCTGCTTTTTATTTTCAGATTAGATTCCTGGGGAAGCAGGGTTGCTGCAATCATTGTCTGGCTTCAGGTCTCTGCAGTAATGACTCCACGTTGTCTGAACCCACGAACAAAGCTTAGCTAAATCAGACAGAGGGAGGGGTAGCACCTCACAGGTATTAAGTTCCTAAATATTTCACAAAAAGAGCTAGGAGAAAAGAGATGATCTGTGAACTCAGCAACAGGAGAGCTTCCTCATTGTACAGACTAAACCTGGAAGAAAGGCTTTGAATGACCAAATAGCAGGGAAGCTCCAGCCAGCACTTGTCCTGCCAGAAGACACATCTCTATGCAAACAGCTGTAGTCAGATTAGCAGATTTGATTTAGTTCTGCTGCTCATGCACGATGCTAACTTGTTATTTGCAGACAGGAAAGCAATCCAGTCTTCCTGAGTTCTTTCTCAGCTACCTCCAGAAGAAGTACGGAGATGCCTCTGCTGTGGAATGGTCTTACAATCTGTATGAGTACATGCGACTCTGTCCATCAAACCACATCATGAGCTCATTCTATGAGATACTCACTGGAAAGGTAGGCAACCCATGCCTCTGTGCTGCACCTCTGCCCAGACATTGCTGGTAGTACAAACAAGAAGGCAGGGAAGCGTTCCGCGAGGCAGCTTCACTTCACTGCCTGTTCACAAAGAAGCATTAAGGTTGGAAAAGACCTCTAAAATCAAGCCCACCCCCACCATGCCCACTGACCACATCCCTCAGTGCCACATCTCCACAGTTCTTGACCACCTCCAAGGATAGTGACTCCACCACCTCCTTGGGCAGCCTGTTCCAATATATTACTACTATTTTTATTAATATCCAACCTAAATCTCCCTGGCACAACTTGAGGTCATTCTCTCTCATTTTATGACTGTTACCTGGGAGAAGAGGCCAACCCCCATGACGTGACAGTGAACAACTTGCTCCAAAGCAGTTTGTTTAAGGAATTGTTGTGAACAGCCACCCTGCAAGCCATGGTGTTGCTCGACAATTTATAAATCACTAAAAGCAGCTCAGCTGAAAGTTGATTTAGAAGTGAGCACAATCATTTCACAGTTTTGCTTCCCTCTTGAATGCAACTCAAGGACTAACAGATAACTCAGTTCCTGACCTGTGAACCTTCCCTGTTCCACAGGTAGCTGAAGAGCAATATTATGACCAGAATCAGCTGATTTCTGACCTGCAGAAAAAGCTGGCTGCCTGTGACAGTTCCAGCAATGGGTCCCTGCCCAGCGAGCAGTTCAGGCAAGAGCCATGCACCACACACTAAGCTCTGCATGCTGGGATATGCCAAGTCTGTCTGCTTTGCTTGCATCTGTCAGCACAGCCCAGGGAACAGTTTTTCTCCTTTAAATTCTTGTGAGGACAGCTATAGCAAGCGTCTACTTGTAAAACTCAGCATAAGCTTTTAGAGTTATGTGAGAATTGCAGGTTTTGATTAGCAAAACTGGGAAACTTGAGAAGAAATATGGGGCACCGCACACATGTAGTGGGATGAGGCAGCATCTGCACCCAGCCTCTTTCCCCAGGGAAGACACAGAGGACCTACTGCAGAGCTCCCATCTGCTCCTAGGACGGGTCACAAAACATTTCTGTGAGTTTTGCTACAGGTGCAGGATTTGTCAATTGTCAGTCACCTGTGCCTTCAAAAACAGTACTCACTAGAGACAGCACCTTTTGGGGCTATGGCACAGAACAAAGGCAAGAGCCATCTCCAACAAGTAGCTGGGAACACGGCTCTGATGCAGACATGCCAGCTCTCAGCTAACCAACACCATGCTGCATTCAGAACTTCCCAAATGGTTCAGCATCAACATCCACATGAAATCATCACTCTTGCTTTGTTACCTGAAGGTGCGTGCACTTCCTTGACATGTGTATCCTCTTTGAGGGCAATAAAGTTTTGAAGATCTAGCTCATGGTGTACATGCACACTCTGCTAGGTTAAGATGCTGCTGTCCATACCAGCACTCATTAACTGCTCACATGCTGTTGCCTGTCTCCAAACAGAATGGCTCTGAAGGAGGCTTTTCCTCTGAAAAGAAGAGATGCAATCCAAGAGCTGGTTGATGCAAGCAGGTTCAATCTGGACAGTGATGAAGACCTCATTGACTACACATCCTTATTCAAAGAAGTAAGCTCACATAAGTTTTCTTTTTGACTTGGGTTTAAGAAAAGTGCTTAAATTAGGCTGGTCAGACTGTTCATCCAACTATTATAGCTGCACTGCACACCACAGACTCTGAAAACCATCTGCAGATCTCTGTAATGCAAGCTCATGCTTTTTTCTGTGAAAGAGTTTTTCCAGATTTTATTTTCACTTTTCATATAGAAATTCCATTTCTAGGAGAGCTATTTTAACATACACTGGGGAATGACTCTTACTGGGATGAAGCAACTCGTGATCCATGCTGTAAATTCTTTCAGGATGAAGAGGGGAACCCTGAACCTTTTGTTGCAAAGCTCAGGAACCAGTATATCAGTGAGAAGCAGGAGTACCTGCAAGAGCTAAAGAACAGCCTGGGAGATGTAACGTACGTACAAAGGGAGTGGGCTGATGGGGATGGGAACAGTGCATGCAAAGAATCCCCCCACAGACACAGGAGCACATCACCTGTGCAGGGGCTGTGCAAGGCCTCAGATTTTAATACCTGCTGCATCATACATTTGGGTCTTTTCATTGCCCACTTCCCCACTCTGCAGTGAGCCGTGCCTTTCTCCTTGTCACCCCTCCAACCTCACTGTGCCCATGTGCTGGGGCTGGATTTGAACTGCTCCTGGGCTTGCAGAGACCTGATGAAGATGCTCAAGCAGTGCAGAGGATGAGCTCCCTAACAGCAATGTTAGTGTGGAGAGAGACAAGAAAAAAGAAGGATCCTGGGAGCCACCAGGGGACTGGGCTTAGGATGAGAATCTATGCTACACTAGGCACGCTGCTGAAGTCTGAGCTGAGCAAGGGAAACTGTGGTCAGACAGGAGTCTTGCCTGACAGCCAGGGAAAATAGAGGATAAGTGAAATCAACACACAAGGACAGGCAGAAAGCTTCTGGAATGACCATTGGCCAAGGCCCCTGCAGAGGTCAAGAAGAGAGCTGCAGGAGCACTGGAAGCCAAAACAGCAGAGAGAACAGGGAGAAAGAGAAGGCTGTGCTGGGAGCATTCAGACAAGGAGGAGCATTTGGGGACATGGACTGGAGGTGCTGGCAAGAAGCAGCACTGAGTGGCTACAGAGAAGGGGAGGTAACAACTCAGGGATAACTAGCTTCTATCAAGGAAAAACAGCAGGAAATGAGGCATGGAGAGGTCAGTGTGGGAACTGGAGATGCAAAGGACTTGCTGAGGAAGCCAGGGTCAGGTTGAAAAACCTCCTAACTAGTGAACAGGCTCACCTGGAACAGCAACAAATAGGCACAAGGTAAAGAGGCAGGACAGACAACCTATGAGGAGTATGGCAAGCAGTGAGTGGAGAAAGTTGGCTGTACTACTAATAATCCCCTTCAGTATTTGAAGTTAGTCTCAACATCCCTCAACTCTCTAAAAACAGCAGTGAAATCCTGTATATGCTCAGAGATTAGTTCTGAGGACTGAAAGAAGCAAACAGGACTTCCAGCTGCAGACTTGAAGGCAAAAATCTGAGAAATAATCCCACCTCAAATCAAGACAAACAGGATGGAGCAATTGCGTAGAAAAGAAGCTTTGTGCCAGGCACCAAGCAATGAGGGAAACACTGAAGGTGGGCCAGATGCACAAGAAGTTTGATGCTGTCTTTCATGGGCAATGAATTAGCAAGGAAAAGCACAGTTATGTAGCAAAGGGTATAGAAATGCTTAGCAGAGGAAAATTAAAGTCTTCCCAGGTGATCACAAACTAACTTTTCCTAATTCCTGTTCAGTTTAATTTAGTATTTAGTTTATTACATGCATATTAAAAAAATCCTGCCATTGATAACATTGAACAAATGTGCATTTTGAGCAACACAGATTCTCACTGTGGTACAAATGCTTGGACATTCCTATCATATACCATAGCAGTGCAAGTGACTGAATTGTTTTTCAAGCAGAGAGGTGGATGCAGATGATCTGAAGGCAGCCTTCTACAGGATTGATCCTGAGATCAATGATCAGATGCTAGATGCCTACATCAGCCTGGTCTACCAGGCCAAAAGAGAACAGCCTGACCAAGAAGTTGTGCCTGTGGACACCGTGCTGGAGAGTCTCCGTGCTGGAAATGTGAGAAGAGTAGGGCCCTCACCCAGGAAAGAAAGCACAACAGACTCTGAAGGAGAGTAAGGAGGCTTCCCATATTAAGAATAAAAAGCCTGTTTGATCTGCAATTTTGGATACAGAGCTGAGTCAGAGCTACTGCACTAAATACCACTTCTCACATAGAGACACACCTAATCACTAACTGTTGGGAGGATAGGCTAGTTTGAACTATCCTGCAAAAACTGATTGCATTTATGAACTGGAAAGACATCAGAGCCCACATGACAAATAAGTACCATCATATATGAAGCCCCTGCAATTTCTTCCTTGATTACTGAAATTGGTGCTGCCTACCTCCAGCGCAAGTCGTTAAGTGTCAGGAAAGGAACTACAAAAGCACTGCAAAAGGAGATGCATCATCTAGCTAGGAATCAGGTGTCCTAACTGCACGTATCTCTGGGAGGAGAATTCTGAAAATAGCAGTTTTAACACAGCAAAATTCAGAGTAGCTGGAAAGAAGAGGGCATTAAAACACAGAAGATACGTTTGGTAGATGAACATCAGATTTGCAAAGCTCTCCAGGAGAGCACCTAATGGAGAGGCAGGGAAAGCACTGAGCTAGCAAAAGCAGAATTCACTTGTTTTGCTCCACCCTGAGCAATATAGATTCCAAGAAATTAAATACATTGCCCTGTAAGCAGCAGTTCTTTCTTTCACCCTTCCAGTTTCATTGCTAGGACTTGAAATCTCTTGGCCATCTATCCATCCAAGCCTTCAGTTTAGTTAACTAGAGCAACTAGAACACCTCTCAACAGAAGAGAGAATGGATAAGGAATCTTACCTGCCCTCCTACAGCAGGAACTAGGAGGCTCTCTCTAGTCTCTCTTGAAATGCTCTTAGAAAAAGAGGGTTCTCACAGCACTTCAGCAGAGAGGAAAGAAGCTGGAACCTCTGTTATTACTTCAGACCAAAATTTTCAAACCGTGGCATGCAAAGATCTGAGGATGCACTAAAAAAAACACCTGTGCAGCAGCATAAAGTATTTTAAAAAGAACAAGTGCTATAATACGTCAGTTAAGAAAACAAAGCTGTTTCCTTTCAAATACTGGAGAGGAAAAAGCCATAATAATGGAATTACTTTTTTAAAACTTGAAAATGACTGACCTTTGTGTTGTGAACTGCCTGTCAAAATAACTAACTCACTGGCCTCCGTTTCCTAGTGTTGTGCAAAATTGGTTTCACTTGTAAGCATTGCTGCCAAAAGCCAGGTATGATTTCCAGGAGTCCTCATTAACTGCATCATTTGGAGCTCCATTTCAGACATTTGGGAATCTACACTGTACTTTTCAGTAAGGAACTCTTCCTCACAAATCCAAGAATACAGAAAACTGTATTCTGTGGCTTTAGAACATTTCTAAAATGCAAAGAAGAAAAAAGAAAGAGCAATTACTCCACTCCTTTAGTCTGCAGTTTTTTTCTTTAGTTTAGCTGAGCTGTGGCTGACCCCAGCTGGAAGCACCAGCCCTGTTCAGCCCCATTCTGACTCAAGGGGACTGCAAAGCAGCAGCCCTGAGCCATCCCTTCTTCACAGACTAATTAATCAGTTTAAAGACTTAAAAAAAAGTCAAATTAATCTACTTAAAAGCTCCAAATTTAAGACAGCAGCTAAAAATCAAAGGTAGCGGAGGAGGATGGAACAGATTTTTTCTTCCCCTGAAAATAAGCAAGCACTTTAATTGCCTTACCTTGAGAGCTGCAAACTAGCTAAGTAAAAAGGAAGCATGCTAGTATGTCAGACTAGGAAACACAGAACAGCATTACAGATGAATAATATCCAAGGAAAAGTTTGAAGTCTGTTCTTCTGAAAATTGTGTCATCCTTTCCCAGCTTGTGAATTGTTTTAGTAAGGTGCATAGAATGATGGCTTTCAAATCCTCCAACGTGGCTGATCTTCCTCCTGGTGCAGCTTAGGCTCACTGTAAGTAGTAAAACCACATACAAGCATTTCACTTGTTCTCTCCCTTACCTGAAGGATAGAAGGTTTATTTGGCACAACAGCTGGCATCAGGAAACACCTGCAGAAGTGCAGCCCTCAGCTCTGAGCATGTGTTTTAGAAATAAAGGGAGGCCCAAAAGCAAAGCATCATGTCTTATTATTAGCTCTAACTCAGCCAGCCACCACCTTACTCCCTCTCTTTTAAAGGACAGGACCAGGGTAAAGATAACAGGAAGATCACATACAACTTACCATCTGGGGCAAAACAGCCTAGACTTGGGGAAGATTAAATTATTGACAATTACTTGAGAAGTGAGAAAGAGACAAAACTAAAAGACACCTTTCTCCCATTCCCCTCTTCTTCCAAAGCTCTAAGTCACTCGTTCATTCCCAAACTCTTCTACTCCCTTCCCACTCCATACAGCACAGGAAGGTGGGGAACACAGGCTGCCATCAGCCCCTAACACCTCACCTCTGCTGCTCATTCCTCCCCACTCTGTCCAGTGATATTGTGCTCCATGAGGTGCCCTCAGGCTGCAGGGGGACAGCCTGCTCTGCTGTGGGCCTCTCCTAGACTGAGGGAACTTCTACTTTGCTCCCCGAGTATCTCTTGCCCTCCTTCTGCACTGGCCTTGGGGTCTTGCAGGGTTGTCTCTCTCACATTTTCCTCATTACTCCCTCACACACCTGCTGTGCAGCACTTTTCACCATTTCTTATGTTAGCACTGATGTGCATTGCAGAAGGGCTCCAATTTAGCCAGTGGTGGCTCTATTTCATAACTGGCCAGAACAGGCTGTCTGACACAAGGGTACCCCCACAGTGCCCACGTTACCAAAACTTTGCCACATAAACCAAATTTACACAGTTAAGTCCATTTACCACGTCTGAGCTAGAAAATTTAACCTCTCAGTTGGTCTTCAATTACTGCTTGTTAACTCCCCATCAGCTGTTGCCACAGATAAACTATGAGCTAGATCTTGATATCATAGACCAGATATACAAAGTAGGACAAGATCCCAAGCTTCAAAGTCCCTGATTTAGAAAAAATACACAGCTGTAAGAAGGATCATCTTCTCAGAAGGCAGTCCATAACTGCTCATTTGAGCAAGCAAATGGTTAGCATGAAGAGCACCAACACAAGTGCCTATTAGGAACATTCTGAAAATGCAGCAGATGCATGGTAACATTTCAGCTCCCCAGAATAAGCTCACCAGCTTTTGTATCATGCAGAATACACATCACATTTTATTTTACAGAGCTGTAAAAATCAAAGTTAAGATACAAGAATAATATATAATTGATGGTGTGATCCAGCAGGCTGGCACGATAGCCACAGCACAACCTGAATCAATTCAAGCCTGTGCTGACTGCATATTGCCTCAGCAGTTACATGTGGAAAACCATCACATGGAACAACCTATGGCCTGCTTGCAGAAGTTAGCTATGTTTCCACCCTAGGACCCAGAGGGGCACTTTCACTTGTAGAGAATCACTTTATTCCCACTCACAGCAATGGGAATCAGCAGCTTCCTGTACTCCAGAGGGAGGTGACGCTCCACCAGCACGTGCAATGGTATCTTGTCTGTCACCAGCCCTTGCCTTTATTCAGAAAAGAGAGCAGAAAAGAAACAGAATAGTTAGTGGAAAGAGTTTCCAATAAACTTAATATCAAAGTTTCCGAAGTTTTTCTTGCAGTGGCATTTTTGCATTTAACACCTGAAACACACAGGCTGTAGCTGTTTGCAATAGGAAAGTCACCTCCCCTTATTTGCACACAACTTTCCCACATAATGTGTTCAGGCCCATCTATGGTGCAGCCCCCCACAGAGGTACATGTTTTCCACAGAGAAAGTCAGCACATTGAGCCATGCCAAAGTAGTTCATTCCTTTTTAAATTCACAGTCCATGTGACATGGGATAAGTTTGACCATTTAAGGACATGCACAGAATGATGCAATGGAAGCAAACATCCCATTGTCCAGACTTTTTTTTTTTTTTTTTGCATGCCATTCACAACTCAGAGGTGGTTGGTATTTTACAGCTGTGTAGACAGTGTTGTTTTCTAGTAACACCATTTAGCTGACTGGCCTGAAAAAAAAATAAATCATTATCTCCCAGTCTCACAGAGAGAAACAGCAGTCTTTATCCATGCTTTCTTTGCAGGAAGAGTAGAAATACTGTTCTTATTCATCAACTGGTAAAAACTCCTAATCTCTTTAGGAAGCAGTGGAAAGGCATAAAGACATTGTAAAAAAGGTAGAATAAGCATACAGAATCCTCAAACCTGGCCAACTAAGCCGTCATGCTTCTTGACCTGCTTTAACTTCAACACAGCTGTCAGATGGGAAAATGAATTCTCTAGACAGCAAGAGATTAATTCTTTCTAAGCAGCAGCACCAGCTCATGGTACTGAAGCCCACACAAAACCATTCACTTTAACCCCTCAAATAACTTTAACATAGCATCTGAAAGAAACTCTCCCAGGGGAAACTAGAATACCAACTTCCATGACTTCAAATGAGTGGGAAATGCTTCAGGCCTCAGTTTTACAGAGGGCTTCCAACCCAAAAACAAAACCCTTGTATTTTGGTTGCAGGACAACATAAACCCAGTCATAAAATGGGGGAGTTGAGGGAGCCCAAAGGGAAGAGCTGCACTTAAGAGGGTCTGAGAACATCCCATGCAGGATGCAGGCCCTCTGTGGGGTCTTGCAGTATAGCACGAAGAGGAACGCTGTTATCAGGAGAAGCCAGACCAGAGAGTCTTTTTCTTGCTTTGGCAGGGAACAGTCAGTTTGAACTCTAATAGAGTGGGATTTTGTTTGGAGGACAGTAATGTGAGTGTTTGCAGTTCCTACTTCAGTGCTCCCAGGGATGCAAACAGCCTAGTCTTGCATTTACTGTTACTCACCTGCGTTTTCTACCCACGCCTTTCATGTCCCAGCCCTATCTGCTTCAGCCTTGCACACATTCTCCTCCTCTTGCTACCTGTTTCTCAGACTCCTCCTTCATTCCCAACCCTCAATATTTCTTCCTGCCCTCTACCACACTGGCCCTAGAGTATAGAAATTCAAGCCCATAAATGCCTTTTTTTGGGATAAAAAGCCAAGCTCCATCACAAAGAACAAGTCA